TTTTCCTGGCTTTCATAATAGCATTTTCATATTCCACATTCTACTTGCATGGACCTGTTAAAATTATTTTAAAGATTATTTTATAATTAAATTACATTCTGACAAAAATGGACAAACTTTATTTTAAACTATATTTTTGAACGACAGTATATTCATTTTAATAATTTCATAACTTTGAAGGACATTTTGGAAAATCAAGAAATTACGAACAGATTTATCTGCAAAAATGAAAATATTTGATCCGACAACGGATCGATTTGCCAAGTCAGAAGAGGAAGAATAAGCATACGCCTGCGCCAGGTCCTCCACGTACTCTTTTATCTCAAGTACTCGTGCGAAGCATCCAGCATTAGAAACTAAATATGTAGTTTAATTTTTTTTCTTTGTCAGATTTTCCATACTATATCGTAAAGGTGATTGCGTGAATAGGGTTGCACGAAAGATCCTAGCAAAAATGCGCAACAATGTAAGATAACAATAAACGATAAAGTTACTTGACAAAAAGTGTAATTTGTTCTATCATTGCATCCCTGTTTGTTCGTTTCGATGTTTCTTCTTCTTTTCTTTTCTTTTTTCACGTTTTCCGTTTTCACTTTCAATTTCGAGCTTTTCGGTCGAAAGTCGTGACGACCGTAAGCGAAACCAAAAAGTGGATAGTATTAATCCCTACAAATTGATTCTCTTGCAGGAAGGGTCAGTGCTGTATCTGTTGTTAGTATTAATTTTATGCGCAGAAGTATGTATGACGAGCGCGAGACACCTGATTAAAAAAAGGAATTACAGCGATCAAAGTGTGAGAGGTTATCTGGCAGAGGTAAGTGAGCTGCGAACAAGATTACATATATTTGTTATTATTCATCGGTCACAAATGGAACGTCTGCTTCTAGCGGACATGCTGGTGGAATGAGATATGCAAAGAAGAGTTTCACAGTAAATTCCGATGCCGTTGTCCAAGATGGTCTTACTGTCGTGCACCTGGCAGATATTACGACGCGCATTGCAGCATGACACGTACAGGTTATATATGGACTCAACCAGAGACTTCGTTAACGCTCGAAGTTAACAAATAAATTACCAATTCGTGAATCTTTTCGTTGAACGCTATTGCCAATCAAAAGCTGATAATATCAAATTTACCTAAATTCACTTATAGTTAAATTAGGTAACTAATTAATATCTAGCTCTATTGAGAGTTTTTGTCGTTAATAATCATTGCGTATTAAATACGCTTGAAGTATGTAAATTACTATTCATCTCTTATAATTGTACCTACCTTTTCCCCATCCTATATTTTTCTACATCTACATACATATGTATATTATATATTTATAATACAAGCTAAACAAACTTGTTTCTATTTCATGTTTAGCAATCTATATTACAAAATAGTAATAAAATAATTATAAATATAAATTGTGAAGAACCGTAAGCGACATCAATGTTAATTAAAATATTAATTATAATTAACGTTGTGTTAGAAAAAAAAAAATAACACGAATGACACTGTTAAATAGAGTTCATTAAAATTATTTCGTCTTTTAATTAAAAAAATCAACCTATTAAAATTGAAAAACTGAAGCAGATAAACAAAATAGTTTTTACTTTAGTTATAAATGTTCCAAAATAAATTGCTCAGTATATAATTTCGTTTTACATTAATTTATTTATACAAAGATATAATATTAAAAAATTGTATTTAGTAAACAATTTTATAGTACAATGATAATGCAAAAACGTAGTATAAATTACCATAATATAATATAAATACGAAGGAAATGTATAAATTTCGTCTTTCTTAATTTTTAATAATGAAGTTGTATTTAGTGAAAAGACATTACTTAATATTTTTTTCAGTATACACTCAATATATATATACTGATATATGACTGATTTTATAAAAATGAGAATATTTTTGTTTTTATTTGATCTTTTAATTTAAGAGTAGAATGCAACAAATACTAGTTTTATTTGATCTTTTACTTTAAGAATAGAATAATTATCTATTAGTTTTTTCGATGATTGTGCGCCTAATCAAATATTTTGAAAATAATAGAATTCTGTTGCATTTTTTAAATAATTTCTATATTCTATTAATTGAATTAAGGATATAAAGTGTGTATGTATGTATGTATATGTATGTATGCATATATATATCGAATTGTTAAATGATAAATTTATTCAGTTTTACAAAATAAATTTCAAATTTTTATAGTAATATTAAATATATATACTCGATAAAAATATTGCGTATGGTATCATATTTCGATGTGTAGTTTTATTATACTTTTAAATTACATCTTAGTAGATAATTAAATGTTTATTTTGAGAAAAAACATTGGTTAATGCACGTTAATCAGATCCTACAATTTAATTAATGATATTAGAAGATATGTATTTTTGCTGCATTTTTATCTGTAAATATATTGTTAATATACTTATCATGACACGAAAGAATTTTAAATATTAATTGTAAGTTGTATACGACTAAGTAATGTAATTAAGGAAGGCGAGAAGTTTAGATTAGAAAATTTTCTTTGCTAATTTTAAGTCGAATTTTTTTTCAGTTTATTTGATTTTGTTATAAATATTTAATTGTAACACGTAAAAAGTATTTGTTCAAATTTATCATAAATTTACAATAGAAAATATAATAAAGTACAGTGAACTATGATACAAAATGTTTCTAAAATAATTAATCTCCAATTAATCTAAATTTTCTGTTCCTTCTGAATTTCTATTACAGTATCAATTATATACATTAATTATTATATATTATTATTTAACTAATAATCTTTACATCATTGCTTAATGTAATTTATTAAGAATAAAGAGTTTTAAAAATTAACGATCCAATCCGACTAGTATTTTGCAAGAAATTAATAATAAATAAAAATTAATTTATTTCAAGTAATAGTTGAATATTAATTGAAAAATTGATGTAAACTGAATATACTATGTACACATTAAAAAATGACAATTAATAATTTAATGGCATATAAATATTAATTTTAAATATTATAATAATAATAATATATATATATAGTACGTTTCTAAAAATATATATCTTTTAATTACCGATATCCTTTCATTATACGTGTATATTAAAACTTAATATATATATATTCTTATGAGTTATATGGTAATCTTATTTTTGTGATGCATCGTCACATTGTATTGTATATTTTCTTATATTATTTTCATTATATTGTATATAAAATAATTTACTTTGCCATTTATATACAAAACAATAAAAATGTTGCTGGTAAATTATTTATCAACGTGACAAATAACTTTTATGTTAAAGTCAATGAGAAATATTTTACGTCATTCACACTCATACAAGTCATTATACTTTGTATACAGTGTTCCATTTATTTCGAATTGCTTAATACCTTGGTCTTAATTACTTTTATCAACATAAAAAAATTGTACAGGACAAAACTAATTGATTCACAGCGATGAATACTATGATTTATCACTTTTTTTCAAAGTCTTTTCTATTTTCTAAGGCCACTAAGTGGAATTATATATTTCTTATGAACCAGTCGATATGTTGATTTATTTTCTAGGAAAAAGTATTGAAGTATTTTTTATCTAGAAATGATTGTCTTGTCTTTTATTGGATAAGTTCAACAAAATTGAAATAAAAATATTTTAATAATGTCTAATTTTTTAATATTATTTATTATTATTATATTATTATTATTTTAATTATTTATTATTAATGGTTTGTAGTGTCAATAAAAGTAACTAAGATATCATGCAATCCTAGTTAAACGAAACACTCTGCATATAAACCTAAATTAATATCAAAAATAAATAATATAAATAATATAAAAGTCAATTGCGTAAAATATATTACTTTTCTAAATGATTCTTACTTCCAATATATTTAATGAAGAAAGATTAAGAGATTTCATAAGTAGTACACATAAACATACTACATAATTAATATAATCTTTCGTTAATCATTCTTATTCATATTATATACTTTTAGATACTTTTTATACAAATACGTAGCGATCTTTCCGATAATTGTACTGTGTCATATAATTTGTACTATACCAATAATTAAATATTAAGAATTATATATACAATTGCACATAATCACATTAAAATGGTTATTTTTTAACGATTTTAAAAATATTTCAAACTCGATTAAAAGAATTAAAAATTAATTCCTCATATTGCATTCAATTCCATTCTTATTTTCTTTAAAAATATAAGATCTTAGACCCTATATTTTTCCTGATGAAATAGGGTTGCGTTTAGATTACCGATAAATCGTAAGTTTAAATTCAGAATTAGAAGAACAGACGGATAGATTAAAAATTCTACATAAATTTAAAATAAAAATATAATTCATTTACAAAAAGAAAATCTTTCGAAAATCTTTAACTTAACATACGAGCATATTATAATATTGATCATATTATAATAATATATCTCTAAATACAATTTGAAGCATTTTGTATAATAATATAACTTTGTTAATTTCATGGCATTAATATTCAACGATCAGGCTAACAAACACTGCTGAATAGTATTTTATAATTATTACACTCAATTAGACGTAAAAACAGTCATATGACAATTTCTTTGCACTTTTCTATCGTCTGTTCTTTTTCTTTTTTTTACATATTTTCCCTAAACTTTATAAATTTATTTTTATAATTGACAAAATGTATAGTTACAAATTTTGTAAATCGATAAAAATCGTTCAATGGCAGAGTCAAGATAACCAATTATAATCTTTCTTTTTTTTTTCTTTCTATTGTTTGTTTCTTTTATGGGAGCATTATATATTATTTATATTATTATAGCACGATCTCTGAATCCTAGTAATTTTAGATAAAGTGCCTTGATACAAATCTCAATTCCATTGAGAGACATTAATGTACTATAAGTTTAACAATTTTTTTTTAAATCATTACATTACAACAACAAGAAAAAAACATTAAAAAAATATGTATTAAAATATTCATATCATTAAATAATAAAATTTAAACTTTTGACATGTTATCAAGGATGATAGAAAAGAAAATATTAAAATAAAAAGATTATAAAAATTATAATAGAAATTAATAAGGATAATTTTAAATTTCTAATCGATGTATTCATCGTCGTCATCGTCAACAAATCTAATATTCTGATCATAAAATGATCCTTGTTTCAAGCAAAATGTTTCTATACCGTAGTCTGGATTTTGAACAGAAACATCAATATCTCGGCTATTTAATTTTCGAACTTGAGAGAAATTTTTTAAAGGACTCCCTGATAATTCTGTCATAGGAATATTTACTGTATCATTTATATTTGTAATTGACTCTGTGCATTCCATTAATTCCTTATATTTGCAAGACATATTTGTTATGTCTTCGTCCTGATTGTTAGAAATATGTTTTTGATTGCAACTTTGTTTGATTTTTGAAAAATCTTTCTGCAACGTTCTGTTTGAAGCAGAACATAGTTTTTCTTTATTGTTTTCATCGTTATCCAATATATTTATAGGGTTTCCAAGCAGGTTTTTAGAGGAATTGGATTCTTCACTTGATTCCTCATCTTTGCCTATACGAATCCTATGAGAAATAAAAAAAATATTAATGTAAGAACAACTATTTAAAAAATAATTTAAGAGTGTGCGATTTGTAATCGGATTTGTAAAGATGAGTACAATAAGTACTACTTAATCTAGTAATGTAAGAAAAATCAAGAAAAGAAATATTATGGAAAGCATTTTTTGTTCCCAAGTTCAAGGCTTACTTTTATCCCTTAAGTATGGACAATTATCAATAAAGTAATTTGTGCCAAATATTTTTGGCTAAAGTTTGTAAAATTTGTCATATTTTAATAATGTATTATTAGAATTTTTTTACATGGAAAAATACATATTATACATCTATTATAGATATTAAATATTTATACTAGATATCTATCATAATAGATACTGAATACGTATTTATATACAAAATGGTCGATTTAAAGGAGGCCACCTAAATTTCTTTTTGAATTGTGATGATGCAAAAAATATTTTTCGCCTAATATGAACGGTATCTAAAGGCCAATAATTTTGGTAAAAATATTTTTTTCCAAAATCATTTTTTTCAGAGTTTTCAAGATCATTGATGTTTTTTTTCTATGTATTTTTCTTTTTTCATTGCATCGTGTAGTTAGCAAAAAATACGTTTAGATACAATAAAGAATATGACCTTGAAAATTTACGTATAAATTTATCTCTATCGAGATGATAGATCTTGGTCAAGACGCGACAATCGAATAGTAAATGGAAATAAACATGTTTACTATTTATTATATCAATGATCATCTCTTCTAATAGTATGAAATCCCGATCAGTGTATCGAAATTTGTCGGTAATTCATAGTGGAATATTCAACGCAAGAAAAAATGTATATGGTACTCATTTAAAAAAGTAACCAATGTTTGAGAGAAGCATTTCGGGTGTATGAAGATTTCGTAATCGTAATTGTCCATCATAGAATACATACTCAAAAGTGGTCAAAAATTTTTGTCAAACTGTTAGTGTCGTGAAAAAATGTATGAAGAATTGTTAATAACAAAAGAAATACAGAAATTATTGTAGCGGAAATCCACAGTGAGTCTAAGACAATTTGAATGTGAAAGTGACATTTCTAAACCTATATTATAATGTGGATATTAAAAGGAGAAAAATTTCACCCGTATCATTTATCTCTGCATCAAGATCTTCACAGAACAGATTTTGTAAATCGTACGTATTTTTCTCCGTGAAATTTGCAGCAATATAAGAATGACCATTGTTGACCAAAAAAAAAACTAAAATTTTTGAACATCTTTATCATTTTAAGACCATGTTCTTTATATATACCATGTTCTTTATATACCTGAATCTTTTTATGTACACGATGCAACGAAAAACAAATACATGATTATATGAAAGAAAAACATCAATGATCTTGAAAGCTCCTTGAAAAAAACTTTAGAAAAAAGTATTATTGGCCTTTCGATACCATTCATGTTAGATGAAAAATATTTTATATCATTATAATTTGAAAAGATATTTAGGTAGCCTCATTTAAAAATGGGTACATATTCATATCAGAACATTCACAAGTAGCTATATCTCACGTTTCTAAAAAGTTTTAATCGTTTCTAACCTGTGTGCGATCAATTGGTATTGAGTCAATGAAAGATATATAAAAACAATTTACACATATGTATAATATTATTCAGCCTGTTTAGTATTATATAAAATTAAATATGAAGAATGTTTCGATAAATTCAATCTTGTTCTAGAATGAAGGTGATAAGGAAATATAAAAATAAGCATATTGATCAAATGAATTCAATGTTTCCTTTTCTTTTAATAATTCTTCTATGTAGTAGAACAAGTAACATTTTTTTGTTTTGTGACTGAGAGTAGATGTATATTTAGAAAAGTGCTTTAATGACTGTAGATTAATTATATTTATTCACGAAGGAACAAAATTTTGTTTGAATAGACAAAAATAATTTTAGTAGATTTATCAAAATTAACTTTTATATAAATATAACTTTCACTTTTTATATGATTTAGATAATAGTTTTAACAAATTGCTATTATGAACTTACCTTTGGTTTGAAATAACACAATATTGTTTTTGTTCAAAGATACCAGATACAGATTCCGTGCTTACTTTAATACTAGAATCTTCTAATAGTTTTTGCACAGGAAGTAATTTTTCAAATGTTCTTGTTCTGAAAGTTTTGGAAAAAGTTTCATTCTTAATTTTTTTTTTATAATCTAAATTTAATAATTTAGTTATAAAAACTAATTTATTTTTTAAAAATAAAGTTATAAAAAATAATTTATATATCTTATAAACAATAATTTACTTTTTAATATTTTTCACTAATTAATAAAAATTAAACATTTTATAAGCCATTTGCAAAGCAACATCATATATATATTTAAAGTTCAAAGATCAAAAATGTTGAATAAGTAAAAGAAATGACTAGAAAGTGTTTTTATATTGTCTATATATACAATATATATACATTATATATAATATATAACATATATAAATATAATATATAATATAATATTTAATATAATATAATATAATATAATATAATTTAATATAATATAGGTTCATATTTTTAATATTTACCCTTGTTCTAATTCAAATCCAAAATCTTCAAAGCTAGAAAGTTTCATTCTTCTATATTCAGAAGGTGTTAGTGCAGTACCTTCAGTTTCCAGAGCCAAAATAGAATTCCTCTTGTTTCTGATGATAAACAATAATATATAGTATATAATTAACAATATTATTGCTGACAATTTAATAAACAGAAATTATTAATTACCCTAGGAGAAGATCTTCTGTATCAAGTTTTAAGTCCTCAATTGGTGGAATCCAAACTAAAAAAGCAGGATCCATTCCTAAATAAGATCCTGGAACAGCACTAGCATTTGCTACATTGTAATCATAATAATCTAGTTCAAGTTCTGAATCAGGATTTGTTAAACTAAATTCTGATCCTGGACCTTGTAGAAGTTTCTCGCGATTTTTTCTTTCCTTTGTTTCTTTCCCACTTACTAAAATTGATGGACTCGAAAGAACACTTTCAGGTGAAGATTCCTGCATGTTAAAAAAGATACAATGAACATGTTTTTTAATATTTATATTTATAAATTATTAGATAAAGAAATATTTACTTTTCCTTCTGAATAATTATTTTCATTAGTTTGATAAATCTTTGGAATGCTATTGCTTTTATCATTTTTCAAGTTCTCATTTTCCTGTTTTAATTTCTTTTCTTCTGAAGCATCGTAATCTATTGTCTGTAATCTATATATGAATTATGTTGTAATTAGAACATTTAAATTTTTATTATATCAAATAAGATAGACAAACTCACTTTACAGGATAAGCATATTTAACTTCTGGTTTATGGTAAACAAGAATATTGGAAGCTGGTAATAATTTATCACAGTTTGACTTCACTGATGTGATTGTTTTGTCAGAAGAACTTTCCAATGTGCTATTTAACTTTAATGTACTAGAACTCAATGTAGATTCATCTTTGCACCTATAAATTGTAAAAGTAATGACTGCTTTATAATACAAGTTCATTTTTTTCTAATTAAATAACTTTTTTTATGATTTTTTTAATGATTTTAATTTTAAAGTTTGTTCTTACCCTGTCAGGGTTTCAATACTATGATAGTGTTCTTCTGTATTATTTAAAGTATTTTTTGGAGCAGATTTCGTATTTGTTTCTATCATTGAAATAACTTCGGAAATAATTGTACTTGTAGATAAAAATTTTGTTCGATCAGGCATTAGCTCTAGTTACAAAAAAATTAATTTAGTCAACTACAAAATATTAGTTGCAAAATAATTCAGCAGTAATTATGAAATGATAATGAGAAAGAAAGCTGATAATTTATTTAAGTTTAAATTATTAACTTTATATGTATATATGATAACGATAAAATAATTTCTACAGTGAATGAAAAATAATAAGTATGAAATTAATATTAATAAAACATTTAATAATTTTATATATCGAATATAATTAAATATTTCTCAAAAAAAAAATATATATATATATAAGTCATAAATTGCATAATATTGATACCAGAAACATCGTTCAGACTGTCCAAATCTTCAGCGATGCGGTACTTCCTATATTTTATAATAAATTGTAATGTCAAGAAAATAGAAATTACGAATATGAGTATCAAAATCAAGGCAGTTGCTAAGTGTGCTGGTTTCCAAAAGATCCATTCTTCTTCAACGTTCGTTGAATTTGTTTCAAAAGGCACAATGGTAGTAATTCTATTTCTTTTTAGATATTTTTTATCTACAATCACAAGTTGTTGCAATTATTTTTAAATAATTTGCAATTTCACAATATTTAAAATGTGATTTTTACCTAACACAGCTGCATGAGCAAGAAAACCACCAATACAAGCATTTCCCGATGCTGTAAGTTCATCGCTGAAAAATTCCAATAATAAATTTTGCCCAGTGCTGATAAGTGTCTTTGTAAATTGCATTTTATCAAACGTAACATCGATTAAAAGATCTGCGTTCAAGGAATTTCCATCCCGGACACGCAAATACTGCCCTGGGCAAGGAAATTGCAATTGATCTACATGTAATCCAACTACAAAGTCCGTCTGTGCCTAAACAAATTAAGTCAGATTTTAGTGTTGTTATTGTTTGCAGTAATCATTTATCATTTATTTGTTACTTATTGGTTACCAATACATTTACAGTAGTACATTTATCAGTATTTCTTTATTATATTACCTGCAAAAGCCAAAAAGATCGGCCAGGACAAGCTTGAGTACTAGCTCCAAGTATTTTCCTGAAAGGTTGTTGTTTTAATACAATGCGACATCCACATCGACACTGCAGTCCAATATCAGCTATAATTTCTGGCTTCGCTAAAACTGTTCCGTGACACTCAGAATTTCCAATTCGATCATGCCATTCATTTTTAATAGATTCCTCCCGAAACATTTTACCACAGAATTCAGTTTCTATTGCTTTCCCCTATATTATTTAACAAACAAATTCTAACTTCATTGATTTGTCATCATTATTGAGAAATTGAGCATGTATCGTTATAGTACCAATTTCTTAAAAAGAAACCAATTTCTAGAAGGAACAGATCAAAGATGGAGAAAACAGAAAAAAATATCAGTCGGGCAGGCATAGAAAGGAGAAAAAGAAAAGGATGGGAGGAAAACTTATTGAAAAAGAGAAATATAGAAGTACAATTACAATGGTAAAAGATAAAATAAGACAATTCAAATACAACAACAGATACAAATACATCAGAAGGATAAAGTTCCCACTGTCTTTAAGTAAAGAAGAAGGAAACAAAAGTCAAAAATTAATAACACAATAGATGAAACAGATATTGATGGAAGAAGATGTGGAAGAAAATATATGGAGAATGATTCCGACAACTTGGAGCATCTGGAGTTATATTTGGAATGTAAAGAAATTAATAGAAATGTAATGATAAAAAGATGTAGTGAGCGGAAATAGGAACGTTGAAGAATGGCTTGAAAAGTTGAAAAGGAAAAGAAAAATAAATAAGGATTAATAAAATCAAAGAAAGCTTATAAAAATAGAAAATTCGAAAAATAATGAAGGCATTAAGAAGAATGTAATATATTAAGAGGAAAATGAAGAATTAGAATAGTAAAGAGTGAGTGAGAGAGAATGAAGGATAAAGAATAATGATTAAATGATAAGATTAAAATAGTACTATATATACAGAATTTCTGACTACGAGATTAATTATTAATATAAATATAATTATAATTATATATATAATTATATATATATATATATGTCAATTTCTTATATTATTTGATCAGATAGTTGCACTGGCGATACTAATTAAATATTGTATTAATGGACAAAATTTACCTGACAAAATTTTGCTCCATATTTTGGAGGTGGAGTATCACAAAAGCGGTACCGATTTCGAATTCCTCCAAAACATGAGCTGCTACATGGACTCCATGGACTCCAAGGTCCCCAACCCGCAGCATCACTTTCTAAATCAATTGTTATTAAAGAAGTTAACAGTGAGTTAAAAGTATTAAAAAAGTAATTTATGTTTCAAATGTATATTATAATGTATGTATACACATTATATACATTAATTATGTATATAATATTATATAATATTAAATTTTTAATATTAAATTATATTATAATTATAATATAATATTAAATTATAATATAATATAATAATATAATTATAATATAATATAATAT